GCCTTGTACCAGAAATACGTACTTAACGCTTAATTGTTTACGTATTCCGCGACCACGTTTTAATTTAATTAATTACGATATCTTAATCTCCGCTGTGAATAAATGAATATGTAAATCCTACATATTTGGCTAAAACAATTTCCCCATCAGGCACAAGTTAAATTACCGTCGTGAGAATATTATTGACGATTTGTAAAAATTGCCCCATGTCGTAAAGGTCGCGATTTTAATCGGTTTTGGTTTAAGTACGGCCGTTTACGTTAAAATGATGGTATTTGCGGAGGTACCCAATGCAGTTTTACAGGTAGTGTTGACCATGTACGTCCATTAAAGTATTAAAGTAACCTAAAACTAGTTGGATGCCCATTTTTACTAAAGGTGTGTGTGTGCGTATCTTGTGAGAACCTGTAGTTTTTACCTGCCGCTCTTTAACTGCTGATTATCCCATGTTGTTAGTTACAAGTACACCTGAGGAAAGAGGCGATTAACTTTTTGCTCGTTAGCCTTGTTTTATGTATGGGTATTAGGAAAGCAAATAATTCTATTTATCCATATCGTCTTTTTTTTAACAATCCACAATTTTAATTTCGTATAGGTATACGTAAATTTGTGGACATTTTTTTCGTGCGTGGAGACTACGACATGTGTTCGACAACTAAATTATATTGCCCTGCACACCACCTACAATGTAAATGGGGTTTTAATGGGAGGTTGTGATTCGAAGGTGTCTGGCATTTCCATAACCAGCAAATTAGCTGATCGAATTACCAAATAAAAATTGTAGGATACGTTTGATCAGATAATTAGGTTGACCATGATACACAAATAATGCCACGCATAAACTAATTTTGAACAGAGGGTTCGTCAACAGCTGGGGCATTAGATCATATCCAAATTTGAGGTTATGTGAAACAAATGAAGATACCTCCTTTCAACCCCCTGCATTTCGCGTTCGAAAAATTCAGCTGTTTCACGACTTATTCCAGACTCCAGAGCACTAGTAGGTTCTGCTTATTCCAACCCTGGTGAAAATAAAAAAAATGGTCGGTTTGAGAACGACCGTATTTTCTTAGTTAACAGAGATACAGAAAAATGTTTATTAATTATTACAAATTAATTTCTTTTTTTTAAATCACCCTATAAGCATACATTGCATAAACATCCTATATATAAAAAAAGCATTTTGAAATTCTCTTCTCAAAAATGTACCATTACAAGAATTAAAAAAATTTAATATCAACTCAAAAAGCTTCAAGAAAAATTCAAAAATCTATTTTTTTAATCATTTGAACATTTTGTATTTTTTTTAAATCATTTTGTGTTTTTTAATATCCTTGGTCTGCGATATTTTTGAAAAGAAGAAATCGTAATATTGTAATCAAGAAGTATTTTGCCATCCGCATTTCACTAGATTAAGTCACTGGTGTAATGTAGTAACATGCACAGCTAGAAAAAGGATTGGCTAAAGATCTATTTCTTATTATTCATCTAGATTTGTAACATTCAATAGTTTCAAAAATAGTGGATAAAATTTATCTTAAACAGGAAAGATTTTTTTTTTATTTTTTTTTACCCAACCCACTATACATTTACAAATATCCATACCTGAACCCGGATTCAGACCAGGGACCCTTAGGACCACAGTCCAGCTTTAACTGAACTGCGCCACATGGGCCGGAATTTTATAAACAATTGTTATTGATATGATATTGGGTAAAGGTTGAGCATCAGTCCTTTTTAGATTTGGTACATAGTCCTTTTTTATTTTTATTTTTTTATTTGTTTCTCGAGTAAGTGTGTAAGCTGTAGGATCAATTCGATGCAACGGTGCTTGAACCCCTACGCACCAGCTCTGCTGTCGTGGGTAATATTATTTTGTATATATGTAATTGTTTCTTTTTCGCAATGTTCTTGTAACCTATATACACTAGGTAATATAATTTAAAATAAATTATTACTATTATTTTTAAATTCTTTTCTCAAAAATATAGCATTAAAAGATTTTAAAAATTTAATATTGACACAGAAAGATTCAAGAGATATAAAATTCACAAATATTTGAAAAAATTGTTTTTATTTTTTGAATCATTTGTACCATTTTAATTTTTTTAAAATCATTCTGTATTTTTTTAAATATCACCCTTGGTGTTCTATATTTTTGAAAAAAAGATTTTAGTATCTATACTATCTTTTTAAATTAAAATATTATACAGGGTGTTCCATTTACAAAAATTATGTTAGGTCCGATACTTTTTTTACTTGACTCCGCTTATTTTGAAAGCCGCACATTATTCAACAATCATGACACTTTTGTATGAAACATTTTTCTGTAACTAAGAAAATATGGGGTTATTCTGAAATTGAGAATTTTTTATTTTCCGAAGAAGGTATATCTTAAGCCAGCGAATATTTTCAAATTTTAATCTACCATTTTAAGTTTGACCCAAAAAGAGCACTGATGCCTATATTATTATTGTTTATAGCACTAACAATTACGGAGAGCCTGCCTATTTCTAAGAAATTTTATCAAGTGTATTGCATTGCGGAAAATTAACTACCAGACGACCGACAACTAAAAAACGTCAAAAACTCTGTAAAGATTAACAAAGAAGATATTAGTATTAAGTAGAATACTAGTGCAAAGAGTAGTTCAAGATAGATTGATTATAACAAAAATAGAAAAACACAATATACGATTTAGACCTTCCGATGCTGAAATTAAGCATTACACTTAGACACTTAGAGCAGATGCTTCGGACATCCGACAAAATAGGGGGGGAAAAATGTTGAAAACGTACCGAAAAGAGGGGTCTATGAGAACAAAAAAATGGGAATCCTAAAAATCACAATTTAAAAAGTAAAGAGTACCCAATTTCAAAATCACGGTAGAATAAATTACGGCGAATTAAAATAAATCATTTTTGATAAGAAACCCACTCAAAACATTTAAAAAAATGAAACCATTTTTAATAAAACAATGTAGTTTTAAGAACGTAGTAACCTGTACCTTCGACATCTAGCGTGATATGGAAATTCTGATAACAGATTCAGATTCTCCGAAAAAAAAGTGCCCATAGGACTAATCGTTAGAGCTAGGGAAAATGAAAACGAAATTTTAAGCATTTCAGTGGTTCCAGATATTTTCAAAGATTTTTCAAAAATTTCAAAAGCGTTTATTTAGTTAAAAAAGGGAAACTTTGCCCCCATTTAACCTAGGTACACTATATCTCACCGTCACGGAGATCCTAATGGTGAGCCACGAATTTGAACCATCCTGTACATACACAAGTCGCACCATTTGATGTGTGGGACGGTAATGGAGAATGCAGAATGATTACTTAACTCCCGATTTGAAAAAAATTGTATACTTTGTATAACTCAAAAATGCCATCGGGTTTACCAAGAAAAACTAAGCAACTTATTTCTAATCTTATTCGTTATTTTGAACGAGAAAGAGAAAATGGTGGTCCACTTTTACCAGTCGCAGCAATAAGAGAGGTGAGTGGTTACTTTAGTAATATAAGAATTCGTATACGTAACAAGTTGTATTACACAGAGGGTAGAAGATGCATTAAAGCCAGCGAACAGTGACTTCTATTCCACAAATTTCTAAATCGGACAAACTAGTCCTAAAAAACAAAGCAATGCAATAAACCTGTTAGCGATGTTGATGGTTTCACACAAGCAGCGAAAAGTCCGTCGTTTTACATGAAAGTACGGTGACTCTGCTCGTGAGTATGGGGTAAGTCAAGATTGCAGTCGCTCCTCGACTTCTGCTACTTGCGGGCATTATTATTACGACAAAACAATTAAGTCGATTTTTTTCCCTTGACGTCCAAATAATAATGTGCACCTTGTTAGTAAAAGATCGCGACATGGACAATTGTCGAAACATTTTTTTAGTAATTGGTTAATACAAGTCGTTGATGTAATGGGTATCCTACCCAGAATGCCGCACTGTCTGCATATACGTCTTCTCTTCCATTGATTGCATGATGCTATGTAAACATACTTCGTGATGACGTCATAATACACCGATGACGTGCGCGCAAACGAAAGAAAATCCTACTGTACCAAGATTTTTTTTAAAATTTGGAATGGATCAATATTTCCTCGCCAGTAATGTGTCATTTTCCTGACTTTTATGTAAATAACTATTACTTGTTTAAAAGTGCAGTGGGCCACACAGTCAGCCAAATTGTGTAATGCCATCAGTTTGATATTTAATTCAATTTTTGATTCACTCTAAAGTCGAAACGAACAAAAATGTATACCTACGATTGGTTGCGCATTGAATCGAAGAATTGCAATTTAAAAACTATACTAAGCACACGTTAAAGCATTTTATACATTGCACCTTACAAAATCATTAAATCTAAGAAATAAAATTAAAAGAAAAACCTAAGGACCCTGCAAGTGAATCTGAGTTTTGCCTTGCATGACAGGATTTCAATTAACTACACGCCACATTTTTCTACCATACTTGATACTGTATAGAACAAATTAATTTAGCTCAAATTACCATTGCAAAAAAAAGGGAAATGTGCAACGAAATGTAGTTTTAATGGCGCATTGCATACCATTAGACTTTGGGGCAATTAAATTAATTATACATACCAACTACAGGTGCAAAAATACGCAAATCTCGAACGGAAGAAGTGGTGTCTCCTTAAATGTATAACCGAATAGTTCGGCAATAAAAAGTGGCATTTCAGAATGTAAATTAGGAATTATTGCCTTAACGAATGTTAGAAAAATTTTTCAGGACCAACCCACATTCATTGTGAATTTCAAACAAAGAAACTTAAGCTGGTGTAACTGGCGAGGTGCTTTTATTGCCGAGTTTCAGTAATAAGCGAAGAGTATGAAAACTGGTTAATGTAATTGAGTTCTTATCGAATTCGCTTCGCCATTCTCGGCGCATCGAAAGAAACACCGGTCGTAAAATATTAATTAGAAAATTTTTAGTAATGTACACAACGAAGGCATAAGCTACTCACCAAAAACGGGACTGTGATCTGCTCTTGCGACATTTTTGTTAGTGGTGTAATTCCCGCCAGACTTTTCCTGAAACATAAAAAGGATCTTGTTGAATGCCATCTTTAATACTAATTAGATGAGCGTAGGTGTAATCTTTTGCATTGCGCCACACCAAAAGGCAAAAAATAAAGGCAAAGTAATTTTTTAAAAGTCCATTTTAGATAGAGGTCGTTTAAAGAAGTATGGGTACTTAATGCAAATTGTTTCATTAAAATAGAAATAAATTTTCCCTAAGTGTTAATAAATACGAAATTTAATTACGTGGACACTCTTCACGAAATTTATGAAGTACTGTAAGTGAGCATTATTCCTACTGCAATGTGCAAATAATCCCGCTTGAATCACCTACTTTGCACAAAATAAGAAGCCCCTTTGAACAAATATAAAAAACGGATAATGGTAATTGCGTCTTAAATATGTAAGGTGTCGAAGCGTAACGAGCGCAAATAGAAAAACAACAGGCAATGATAAAAAATGAATTAGGTATACTTTCCGCTGGTAAGCAGGGGACACGGTAACGGTAGACTTAAGGTTTCCGGTTTTCCAACTTTGAGAAAATTTAGAAATGAAAATTCATGAACGCGTGTAAGTCGAGTGAACCTTGACAGATTTATACCTAATGTTGGCGAATTGTTCAAAATTTGCATCGCATTACGTCAAAAACTAACTTGGAACGGTTTCTCAGAAAAAAAAAGTGCAAGATACCATCAAAAGTCTAAAATTCGTATTCGAATGCACGCCCCCGCAAACTGTCTTTATTACAGGCAGTAATTGCCATTAGAATACGGAACAGGAACCACAATGCGTCTCCGAAATTTTTAGGGCTATCAAAAAAGTTTCTAATATAGACGTCATGTGCTCTTTTTTGGCCAAACTTAAAATGGCACGATGGACATCTGAAAATATTCGCTCGCTTAAGAGATACGAGGGGAAATAAAAAAAATTGTTAATTTCAGATTGACCCCATATTTACTTGCTGAATGCCGTTTTCAAGTATACGATGTCAGTTAAAAAAGTTACCGCACCTAACATCATTTTTTAAATAAAACACCTTGTATATATTCATCTAAAAAGATAGCATATTAAATTCTCATTTTAAAAATATAACACAATAGGGATGATTCAATTCAAAAAGATTAAAAAAGTTTTAAGTTCTAATGATTTAAAAAATACAATTTTTTTTTAAATTTTTTTAAAATTCTTGAATCTTTTTGAACCAATATTGAATTTTTTTAATTTTTTTTTTGTTATATTTTTAGAAAGAGAATGTAATATGCTATCTTTTTAGAATAAAATATATAGGGTGTTCCTCTACAAAAATTAGGTTAGGTCCTATAACTTTTTTATCTGACCCCGTATACTTATTTTGAAAACGGAAGATTATTCAACAATCATTATAAAGAAATTTTTATAATAAACATTTTTCTGTATATCTTTTAACTAAGAAAATATAAGGTCATTCTGAAAGTGAAATTTTCAAATTTTGATTTTACCATTTTAAGTTTGATCCCAAAAGAGCATATTAGATAATATTACTTTGATGGCACTAACAATTACCGAGATAACTTATAAAAGTATCGAAAATGAGACACCCTGTAACTATATACACCTGCAACGAGCAATTGCGATGTTATTTTGCTTCTAATCAGAAACTTTTCGCTCTATCGTTATTTTGCTCTATTCCGTTCTCTTTTCGGAGCATATGAGTTATGAGAATTACTGTAATGTATATATAATATATAGAACTAATGTGCACATACCTATACGTCGGATTTTTGAAAATTGAAATTTTTGCCTCATCGTCATTTTTGGGGGTAGGTATTTTTTCCAACAAAATTTATCTATGGGCGCAAATACAACTATTAAGATATTTTGAATAAAGAGGAGAAAACCGAGGAGAAAACTAACCAACAATCTGAAGTGCTCTCAATAAAAACAGCCGATTTTTTGGGTGTGAGTAGAATATTCGGAGCGTTCAAGCCAAATTGGAGGTGTAGTATAGAATTTTTTTAATGAATAAGGTTCCAATTTCGATTTTCAGGAGGTTTTCAAAGGACCCCGAATATGGCCATGAAATTCCCAAAATAATATCCAAGGATATACAAGGTGTAACAATTAAGTATGAGAGAGACCAACCAACAAGCGCTTTTTCTAAATAAACTGAAGCTCCAAAATGTGTTGTAATACATCTCCAATTGAGACATTTTATAAGAATATATCTAACATTTCTACCATCAAATGGGGCAATCCTAAAAAGGAACGCGAAAAAAATCTGATCTTGACGAAGTTTGGTACCTATCTACTTACTTTTCACCCCTCCGTTTGCTGGGGTCCTATTTTGGTTGCAGTGTGTCTCAGTTGCTTTTAAAGACAGAGACCGCGGTTTTCGCAACCCTATGGCACTCTTTTTTGTGAAACTTTAGATACCACAAACAGAATCATTCTAGCTATGTTTTGTTTCCGCGATACAGAGTGAAACGAAAAGTTCGACTTTTTGGGATGTTAGCATATCTTACTACCGACATATACCCATATGTAAGATAGAAAAAGGGTGCTGTCCATTATAGATAATTTTACGTAGAATCTAGTGGCGTAGAAATAAAATTATAAAATTTGACCCAAAGTTGGTATTTTTAAATGCAACACTGTATATTTTAGATTTTACCTTTCTTCTAGATATAACATTCCAAAAAATCAAACTTTTCGTTTTCATCATGTAGGTATCTCAGAAACAAATGCAGCTAGATTCATTCTGTTGGTGGTATTAAGTTTCACGAAAAAGTGGCACAGGGTCGCGAAAACTGCATCTTTAAAAACAGCTGAGATGCATTGCACTCTGAACCAAAATAGTACACGGTACACATAAAAACTTATTGAAATAATAGCAAACTAACCCATCAGTAATCATTGCCAAATGGCCTACCAACCATCATATGGAAAAAATAAGGGGCGTGTTAGAAAAACCCTGGAACTCGTAGTGCGCATTTTTTGAACAAAAACTATTTATACAGGTGCCTCATCTAACACTAACCAATACCTATACAATATTATTTTAAATACAACACCCTGTAGAGTGTAGGAATACTATTGAAATGCTTCAACTGTTTCAGATACATTAATTGTTTGGGATTTATTGCAAAAATTAGTATAAAAAAAAGAAACGTTGGATTTAAAACAATAATTTTGGTATTGGCCACTGTTACGTAATGCACCCTGTATAAAAATATTTAAAAAATGCGTAACTAAAAATACCAATCGACATGTCAGAGCGTTTTTTTTGTACACCCTCATTTATTTATTATCGAATTTATTCCATTTGGGTACACTGTGTCCAAGATAAAGATGTCTACCATGGGGACTTCGGAAAAATTCCCATTACGTCCGAAGATATGCCAAAAAAACCGAAATTTACCGATTTTGTTTTTATTTGTTCCTGATGTTATTTGAGCAGTGACAGAAAAATAACACACTCTCTGACTGCCTGCATTATTTGAACTCTACAAGACAGCGTTGAGAGATGGTTAATAAAATATTACAATGTGTCGTTTTCGAGAAGTAATCATCAACTTTATTGTCTTATATGGCCCGTAAAGGTACATACTGTATTGAGTAGCATTTTTACTACGAGAGTGTACACACAAAAAAAAACAAAAAATGGAAACTGTTGGTTTCAACAGGATGGCGCACCCTCACACAACACCCTAGTCGTGCGAAAATACGTATTTTCCATTTTCCAAAAAATTTGTGGCTCTTGTGCTTTTTTTGTATCTGTTCAAAATATCATCAGAAAAAAAAAATAAAAACGAAATCTGTAAATTTCGATTTTTTGGCATATCTTCGGAAGTAATCGGAATTTTCTGGTTTTCTTTAAAGCATGAAACTAACTCTTTAATTGTGCAACTTTTCTCTAACTAGACTATCTTCGTAAGTATCTTCTATGGTTTTGAGATTCAAATGATAGACATCCTAATTGGCCACAGTGTATACTTTCTGATCATGTGGTTACTGCTTTGATGGTAGGATTTTAGAAAATATGAAACACCTACACGAAACCGTTAATTCCATTCTTCAGTATTACATCTTAGGCGTTATGGCTGCTGAGACATAACCTCGGAAAAATAAAATAGAATTTTTGGGGACCCTGAAGATATTGGAAACAGAACAAAAATTTTCGGTTTGGCCCTTGTACCACGTTAGTATTCGCCGACCTGAGACAATCACTTTTTAGAAAATTACCATAGCAAAACGGTATACCCCCCCCCCCCCCCCCCCCCCCACCCCGATTGTTTGGTCGTTCCTTGTATAAAAATTTCGAATTGAATTTTGAGCTTCTGGGAATCGGTCCTGCTTGGTTGAAAACTAATTTGTTTTTTTTTTGCATACCAGTAAAGTGCTCTTTGGGGTGCTCGAAGTCCTGGGACTACTTTGATTTTTTTCTATGTTTGTATTTTGTAACTGGATTTTTTTGAGGAACTCCCAAAAAATGTTACTTAAAAAAACTGTTCAAAATATAATAGTTTAAATACTTAATGTACGTAAATTGAGGACTTCAATATCAACTTGCTGTCAATTAATTAAATCATTTTTTCGGATGTGCTAAAACGTACTAAAAAAATCTGGTTAAAAAATAAAATCGCCAAAAAAAAATCAAAGTAGGCCTAGAACTTTGAAATTTTACACGTTTACTCTACTCAGTTTGTAATTTTTTAACTCTTAAAACAATGCGCTAAAAATGAAAAATTTGGGGGGGCTAATTTCATGGGTCTCCTCCTCGGTCTGATCTGTCATGTAAAAAAAATCCTTATTGTGTTCAGTTCGCACACTTTGGACTTGTGCTACACTTACATGTTGCCCTCAAACGGGAAATATACTTAATTCATAAGGTACCTATAATCCGAGGAAACCTACAATTTTATCGTTTCTCAATGAAATTAAAAAAACATCTACTACATTTGTCTAATACGAGGTCTAATAGGTACCTATCAAAAAAAATCTCACAATGTACCGTCAACCGATAGCGTGACATTGGGGGAAGTTGACAAATAAGAAGAGAAACTGCGTTTTGTTGATTTCCCAAAATAATTGGTAGATTAATTATGTTTATGGGTACTTGAGCAGTATGATGAATAGTATAAGAAGAGCTTAAAGTTTAATTTCCGTGCATCAAAGCAATGTGTTTGGCAGTTTCCGCGACGAAATTAGTTTTGCTGAAATTTAAGCATTTTGTTTTCGCTGCACCCATCAAATAAAACCTTCACGAGTCTACAACATTTAGTCTCTCGCATGGACGGCCACAAAACCCTTGCCGGCGCTAATAAAAAAAATCTAAAATTAATCTCGAGACAGTGTGAGTGCACGAAGAATTTCTTGTCATAAATAATTGTTAAGAAAAATTTAGTGTTTAAAAATGGAGTGTCGCGAGAAATTTGTTTGTACCTCATTTTTCAACTTTCACTAAAATCTTTTACTACAATCCGAGGGGTGTGCCACTTTAAATACATGTAATTGCATCTCATTGAGTCAGAAGAAATATTTGTCATCTGTATATGATGTATAGTTCTATTTTTACTCCGTAAACTAACTCAACATGTTTTGTCTTTCATTTAGGAAACGTAACTGTCACTTTTTGCTTCCCACGAGGGTTTAAGGTGCGACAGTACACAATGAAATGTCAAACACAATTATAGTTAATAGTTATTAACATTAACGCATATTCTGGTCCTTGCACATTTTATAGTCAATTATACCGCTTTACATATATGTAGTTTTTTTTAGATTTAGGAAGCTTCTTCTGCGGCGTTTTACCCTTCATGGTATTCTATTTTTTTTTGTCCCTCTCTTGTTCTGAGCCCTCAACAGACTTGTTCCCAATTACAGAGCGTTTTAGAGGTGCCCCTGCAGAAGGTCTTAAGTTACCTATTCTATACTACTCCGGTATTTACCTTAAAAATTAGGAAAACTGCAGGAAAACCTAATTCGGAGTAGCCGGCAGAATGCTCGAAAACTGATCTAAGGAAATTCCCTCTCTGCCGCAGATGAAGAATTCTTACCTCAGCCCAGATTCGAACAGCCGACCTACCACTGCTCCATCACCCAATGCTCTACCACTGATACACATAGCCGGCATTTGAAGAGGATACTCGTACAGGGCAAGGGGAAATGAAACGTCCGGACGAGCCATATCTATTGGTGGTGTCAAAACTTTCAGTGCAAATATATGCAGAACAGGGGCGGAAAGATCGTCTAGACAAGACACATCTTGGCGATATACAAACTGAATTGTGAACATCTCGAAAATGTTGGAGGAGGTACCCACAAAGGGAAAATGCAATATTTCGGACAATTTCTCTAAGGACTTGATTCTTTTTGTATTATATCCCCCTCCCCATTAATCATCTACGAAAGTAAACATCGATCAATATAACTAACTTATAACCATTTACGGCGCCGGCCGATCGACTAATCATCGCCGGTTTTGAACATCGATACAATTTCAAGAGTTCTGGCTAGTGGGCTCTAGAGTTTCCATTAAGAATTTTCGATAGGTAGTTCTGCAAAAAATATCGTTTTATTCACGAAAAACGATTTTACCCGACTGCGGACATTTTTGATACCCGCACTAGATTCCGCAATAATCGCCTGTCTCAAGATAAGTGGACCACCCTGTATTTTTATCACAAATTTTTTATAAGATGCTTTTTATGATATCAAAAATTATAAAAAGTTTGCTACCAATATACGCACTTTAAATTTGGGGACAATGGCGTACTTCGGCTTAGTCAAGGGGGTACATATTTTTTTTAAAGGCAACTGATTTTAGTTTTCATTACACAATATTAAAGACAAAATTTCCACGTCGTATACATTATTAATCTCGTTATTAATATAGCACCGCAAAACATACATTGAGATATATGAATAAAAATCACATACTTAACAATAAAAAAAACGCAGTACTAAAAAGGCGGAAGCTGCCAAGTCTTGTTAATTAATTTAAATAATTAAAAAATGCATATTTATACCTCGATTTATACCTTCGACATTGAACTTATGTTCCCGAATTAATCTACTAGCAACCAACAAAACGCATAAAATTAAATGTTTAAAAATGGAACCAATAACAACTTTGATTACCTTTTTTTTTGTCAAAAATTTGTGCATTAAAAAAATTCTAAAATTTGTTCGTCAATCAATTACGAACTGATCAGACTGATTGCAGGAAATATAAAAGACTATACTTGTTCCAGTCATCATGGTAACAAATCTGCTTTCAACAAGATGATGCACCCGTGCACAACGACCTAATCGTGCGAGAATACCTATGGCACACATTTCCTGGAAAATGGAAAATTTGTGCGATATGTCTCTCATGGATCTCCATGCTAAATTATTGATATTTGGTGTACAATACTTTATCTGTGATCGGTTTACGTTTACATGTTTGTAACACACTTTTTTGAAAAGCATTGAATCTGCCCTTTTCAGAATAACTACACGGGATCAGGTAAAAGTTACTCTAACCTCATTTTTTAAATGGAATAACTAGTTTAAAAAATTGCATACTAATTCTCTTTTCAAAAATATAGCACACAACAAAAAATTAGAAAAAAATTCAAAATTCAAAAAGGTAAAAAAATTAGAAAATCTGTTTTGCAGTTTTTTGAATTTTCTTGAACCCTTTTTAATTTTTTTAACTTTTTTGAATATTTTAAAATCATTTCCTATTTGAATTGGGTTGAATCTCGAAAATATACCATAAGCGGGGTCAATTCTTTTTTTTATTCGAATTCGATAATCTACTATTCAAAGTGTAAAATGTTTATTAATGCAATCATCGTAGTTGGCGGTTTGCAAATGATGTCTTAATTGACAGCATCGCTGTCAGATTTCGTATTTTTCCTCGTAAGCGCGAAAATGTTATTACTTGGATTCTGCTGTTGAAGCCTATTTCAATCAAAACCAATTACTTATAGACCAAACAATTATATAATTCGGGATTCGGAGGAAGTAACTGTTAGTGTCATTGGAGCTGTAATAAGCAAATCCTGCTATGTTGCCAAATCGAAATTCAACGAAATCCATTTTTCTACAGGAATATTATTTTGACAGATGAAGCCCATTTCAGTAGTGGTGGAATTTTTAACAGACACAACGAGTACTTGTGCTCAGATGCCAATCCTCATGGACCGTCGATATTCAAACACAGGAACGATTTAGCCATTTAGGTTTAGTGCGCACTCTTTCGGAATCGTGTATTGATTTACCAGATATTCCAAGAGAAACACAACACACAAAGATGCCATAATATCGTAGTTGAGGACTTTCTGGATGATCTTCCCTTAGTAGAGAGAAATAATATAATATCTCAACAAGACGGTGCGTCACCTCATAACTCGAGAATAGTTACCGAACTGCCGAAGTACCCGAAGTAAGCCAAAACGTTCACAAGATTTAACGCCGCTTGTTTTCTCTTTTTTTGCGGCCATATAAATAAAGAACATTTTATATAGGAACAATAATAACCGAGATAATAACACTCTTGCCGAGCTAAGGAACATTTTATAAGTTGTGTTAATTGAATGTCAAATTGTGTGTTAATAACAACGGACGTCAGTTTGAATACTTAACTTCAGTTGGTTTGATATGCACTTAATTGTTAAAACGTTCTGATTATTGTTTTGAAAATCTTTCCAAGACATTCAATTCTCTCAAAAAAAAATGTGTGTAAACGCATTTCCGATAACTTTTATTTAAAAAACGAAAAACTGACTTTTGCTCGTAACTCAAAAGCAAAAAACTGTAAACCAGTTTGGTTTTTGGCATAAAGTTTATCTAAAAAAAAATAGCCGTGTGAGATTATTTCTTTCTATCACTTGTAGTTACCCCCCGTACTAAAATCTTGTCACCCTGTACGCTATAGTAAACACCCTGTAGAATATTGTCAAATTTTCCAAATCACGTTTGTTTTCGTTGACAGCAATTTTTTTCCAAAAGCGGTTAAGTGAAATGTTAAAAACATCAATTATTGTAAGATAATATAGTGTTCCGTTACTGCATTTATTTTTATAGAGCACCCTGTGTGTATACCAAAATATGTTTGGGTTATTCGCATTAGACCAGCACACAATTTTGAATTAAACACTTTTTTGGAGGCTATCAAGAGCGTCCGATATCGCACTAATTGCACACCCTGTATAACGATTCCATTTAAACATTGATTTTATACTTTTAAAATGCTTCCTAGTATCACAATGATGCTTAACCCTCGTATTACAGAAACTAGGAAAGTTTCTTTGGAATTTACAGTACAAGAGGGTGATAATTGAAACTGTTACAAATTCCAAAGCACAAACAGATAGTTGACAAAGTGAAGGCGGAAGAATCCTTTTTGTTTTGCGGGAATGAGATTAGTTTATCGCTTACCGCTTCCGATAAAAAACGCGAATGAAGCATAAAAATGGAACCTGAGAGATACTAACATTCGAGATTTTGTAGGTTCTCCGTGACCGTGATCATTTTGGAACGCAATCGAGGAGGAAACAGTCGAAATGGTAACGGACCTTAGGCCTTCCATTTTCCAAGTTTGTTAATTACCCATGGTCAAATTTAGTGTGATCAAAATGGTCCTTGCAATAATGGAAATGTGCGGCGCGCGCTGCGATAAGAAGGAAAATGAGGCATACCAGTCCGATAAGAGAGAAAGATAAAGTTTATAGGCAGCACGTTTTCATAAACATCCTGTTAGAAAAATCTTATAAACTAAAGAGGATATTGCTATCCAGACGTAATCAGCCGGTCTGGGTCTTCCTTTAGGAAACTATTTTATAAACAAATGCGATTCCCGCTTCCTCGACTTTTGTCTTGGAATTAAGTAAATAAATAAATAAAAATGTGTAAATATGCACACCGTTAGCAGGAAGGAGGTGGTATGTTGAGAAAAGTGTTGGTAGCGGGTGGCGTGGGTATGGTTCGATAGCAGTACCTCAGATTCAGTGAGGTCGATAAGGCTGCTCTTTTCTTCCGTGAGGTTCTCCGAGGACCTCTTCTCGTCCTCGCCGTCACCCTCGTCCTTGAACACCTTAACCTCATCGGTGCTGCAGAGATCATCGCCGCCACTGCTGGACGAGACGTGTGGCATGGTTCACTCGCGACGCGGCGGCATCACACCTCGCTACATGGCACCAGTCCGGCAGCGGTCGTTTACAGTCAACTCATCCCGACCGAGACACAAAAACGAAACACCACAAAAACATCACTTGCACTAAAAAGAAGAAGACGTTAGGGCTCGCACCGGCTTTGCTCTTGATCGAATTCAAATAATCCATTACGGTAACGAAGACGTCCGCGACGGCGGTGACATTCTGCACGACACGTGTTTGTTATTATAAACTGAGAGTGTGTGTATGCAGGTGTAGGTCGCGCAACGTATAACTTGACTGAGAGCAGCGCTACAACTCCACTGCGGTCAGTCCAGCGGCGCTCAAACGCTGCGTGCTGCTCTGTTGTCGGCCCGACCAATCACCGGCTTCTTTGATCCTCCCGGCGGCGGCTTCGCAGTAATGGCAGCCGACACGACTGCGCACGACCCTTACCGAATTCCACCCGCATACATGCTCAAGCTTCTGTTCTTCTCCCGGTGCATGATTTGTTTCATGATTAATTTCACCGCCAGACATTTATTTGACTAATTTATAGACTGTAGTTTGTAATGATGCGCAAACACTGCATCGACATTCAATTTCATTTTAACAATCCTCGCGCATTTCTATAAATAAACGTCGTGCGCCGCCCTCCTTCCTTTATAAACAATTTCTTATTTAGGATACCACCACGAAATTCGTACGCGCCGCAATTCTTTTTTATCTCAACGTCCTGAACAAATAACCAGTTCGTAACTGGTTTACGTTGCGACTTATTCGTTTAATTGACAATTCCGTCAGCAACACAAAAATAACTAACATTATTTTTTAATTAAGTGCTAATGCCCAAACTCGATTAAAAGACACCCTCCTCCCCTTTCTACGAGGATTTACGTAGAGACTTGCCTTTAGCCAGATTGTGTGCAATGAGCAATAATTCGTTTCGATCACGATGCACCCTTCATCCATTATCGAAATCGCAGGTGCAATGGTAACTACGAATGGACGATTATAATACCGCTCCAGATTTTGTACATTTCTTTTTATGAAAACAGAAATGAACTTTAATTTTAATCAACAGAGCTTCCATAATCCAAATGTCTGTTAAAGGAATTTTAAAATTGGTAGACTAAGAACCAAAATTAAAATTTATTTATTCATTTTATCTCGAAACAATTGGGAACAAGTGGAAACTTCATACACGTTCATCTCATTCTGAGCTGGTAACGCTTCTTACTCAACCCAGGGTGGGCACATGTGAAATTAACCCTTCGTTTATAGCATTGCAATTTTAATGTAGCTCCCACTTAAAGTTCTAAGTAGTGTTTGAAACCCCGACCCACTGAGCCCAAGTGATTTTTTTTGCGAGCGTTTTGAGTAAAAGTGAACAATGAACTCTCAAAAGAGGGTTGCTAAACCTTGGATTCTGGAGCTTCCATTCGAATAAATGATGAAGAATATTTTCTACTTTCCATGCATCCAAAGAATTTTCTGCAGCACAATGGTGGAAAATTGCGGGCACACGATCGACAAAATTTCAAAAACTGCCACATGATTTGTGCCACTTTTTAGCGCATTTTTGCAAAAATTTTTTTTTGTAAAAAGTAGCTTTTAATCTCACTTTGGCTGGCTGGCTGGCTGGCTGGCTGGCTGGCAGTAAATGCGCGCCCGTAGAAAAACGCTTGTAAAAAGACAAGGAGTGTACATGTAACTATCGGGGCCGTGTAATTAAGAACGTTAGGGATGGGGCTACAAGATTTGGAGTCGACGACATCTGGACGCCATCCCCGAGCGTATTATACTAACCTGGAGATTTTTCAGTTTTTATCTATCTTCTTCTACAGTTTTTCTCCGATTGTTTTCAAATTGGTGTCGTCGGGAAGATCTTGTCAACGCGCACAACTCCTGCGTGGCGGAATTTTGTTTTTTTTTCCTAGGGGCGAAATAAACCACCTTTTGCGCGGCGCGCTTCGAGGGGTAGTCGACTTTGGGCGCCCAAAAGTTTCTTACAGCGCGAATCGCGGTCTCTCTTTCTCGTGTCACTAATAGAAGGTCGAGCTATGTGAAGTACCCAAAAGTTGAATACGATTTTATGCCGGGATTTTAGCGAAATCTACCAAAATGTGAATTACGAATGAACGGGACGTCGGAACTGTGTATCGACAAAGGGAATGTGGTAACCCCCGACGAGATCTTACTGATGGTGGAGTCAAAACTTCAAACGCGAATTGCGAGTGCACGGTAAGTGAGAAAATGGTACCGACAAAGTGAACGTGGTAGCTTTCGGCAAGATCTTATTGATGGTGGAGTCAATATTGGCTAATAAAACACTGATCTGCCACACAAAAATGCGCTGAAGTCCCTTCGATCTCACACGAGGACTTTGATCATTTTTTCACTGCACTTCCACAAACATAAAAATAAGTTCCAAAACTAATCGATTGACAAAAACCGCATTTCCACATTAATAGTGGTTAAAAAATTTAGTTACCTCAGCCAAATTCATTTTCAGCCATTTAACCAAAATGGTGACAAACAGTTACTCGAAAAGCACCTTCTGTGAAAATTTCGAAAAATCCACCTGCAACTAATAAGAGTTGACTCCGTGCATACACAAGATATTTTTTGTTTCAGACCGCTTTTGTAAAAAGAATCTTCGGTTAAAATTTCAGACAAACAGAACTTTTATTTTTATTTTGTGCCACGTGATTTCAATTTGCGGAAACTACACCCTTAAAATTTTAGAAAAATCGGTGCATAAATAAGAAAGTTTGGTCTGCGCATGCGCAATCTATGTGGCGGAGAAACCCGACTGCGGAACTAAGGGTTCCTGGTTCGAATCCAGATTCGGGCATGGATTTGTAAATGAATAGTAGGTTCGATTGGTAGGACACCTCTTGGTTGGAACCTCGTCCATTTAAAACTAAAGCCCAAACATAATATAAATGAAATAAATAAAACAAATAAAATAAATAAAATAAACAAAATAAATAAAATAAATAAAAGTTGGCTTTATAGCTTCCTTATAGTTAGAAATGCGCCGAAGAGTTCCTAACAAAGGATAATAAAAGTGTCAAGATACCTACTCACAGTAACTGCAAATCATTTGAAGAAAAATCCGTCCACAAACAAGAAAGTTAACACTCCGCATACACAATCTATCCTTTGACAAGTCATTTCAATTTGATTTTATAAGAAGCATTTTAGAGTAGGTATAGAATTTATAAGCACAAAAATCAGATACAACGGAATACAAAAGTTTGGATGCGCATACGCATTTTTTGCATCTTACTTTTTGTTTGAGATTCAAAAAATATTTACACAGATTCAAGATTTTATAAAAGAAACCTTTTTTTAGCGCGGTTTTCAGTTTTCAAGGTATTCAGTTCGTTCTTTTTGCATTCGGTAGTTAATAACTCTGGCACCACAACTAAGAAAAAACCTGACGATTCATATGCGCATGCGCAAACTTCGCAATGTCAACTTTCTTATTTACAGAGATATTTTTTGAAATTTTAGCCACAGATTCTTGTAGTAAAGGCAAACATATCGCATATTTTAAGAATCAGGTGTTTGCACGCCCAGGCCTTATTTATAAAAATATTTAAGCCATAACTTATTTTCCTTTGTCCATTATAAGGACTTTGAGGGAAGTACTGATCAATTCATGAAAAATGCGCTGAAGTTACTCGCCTGGAGGTTTGAGCTGTAAGAGACGGACTGGACGGACAGATAAAGTGGCCATAATAGCGCCTTCCAACATGAATTGGAAAATGCGCTAAAAATAGATGGCGTATGCGTAAATTCTACTTTTTTTTTAATTTTTGGACCAATTTTATCAAAAGATGCTTATAAAAAAAAAATTAAAAACGTATGTCAGCAAATGGATTGCGCGTATGCAAAACCAAGCGCATTTACACACAAATAAAAAATGTCCATGAACCTAGCAGAGCAAGGTCAGCAGAACACAATCAAACATATTGCATAATTAGGTGCTAATTAAGTGCCCTATTCCCGAATTAAATGTTCCTTTTTTTAAATTATGACATGTTCTTCCAGGTTTATATGAACTCGGCAGAGCACTACCTTAAAAACCCAAAACCATGAAAAGTGAACTAACTATAATTAGGTGCTAATTAAGTGTCCTATTTCCGAATGAAATGTTCCTTTTTTTTAAATTATGAACCTGGCAGAACATAATTTAAAAAAAAGAAGCATTTAATTCGGGGATAGGGCACTTAATTAGCACCTGATTGTAGTTAGTTAACTTTTCATTTTCTTAGTTTTTTGAGGTAAGTAGTGCTCTGATGAGTTCATATGCACGATGCACCTGGCAGAACATGTAATAATTTAAAAAAAAGGAGCATTTAAATTTAATTCGGGAATAGGGCACTTAATTAGCACCTAATTATGCAATATATTTGATTGTGTTCTCCTGACCTTGCTCTGCTAGGTTCATGGACATAATAAAAAAGTTGACTATTGTGGACACTTTGTGCGCCGGTCCGTGGGTCCGTCCGTTCGTCCCTACGACTGTGTCGCATTCAGATCTTTATTTTTAGAGCTACTTTTTTAACCTCGTTTTTAACCATTTAGTTTGTAATGGTATCGAGGCTTGTACCATGGACGAGACCATGGAAGGAGTTTTTCCCGTTAAAAATAAATGTTATACCTCATTGTATTCTAATTAAAGGTCTCAACGAAAGGAACCGTTTTCTACCAACTACTGCCCTTCTTTCTGTGCTCTTATCAAAGTACGTGGTGGAGGGGGGAAGGGGGGTGGAACTAGTTTTGTCCTTCACGGTATTCTAATGAAAGGTCTCAACGAAAGGAATTAATTTCTACCAACCATAGCCCTCCTCCTCGAACTCTGCAATTCTTATGGCATGCGGGTGTTCAGCGGCGTAATAATGGAAGTGTGATAATTGATTGCGACATTTTTATCGGAACGTCGATTCATCGGTAAGTAACACGCGAATAAGGCATGGTCCCTCTTGGCCGTGTTCACATGATAATTTGCGAGATAATTTGGCACCTAGGACTTACAATTCATTTTCTTCCGTCTAAACTCGACTTGCTCGTTTCAATTTCTAGTATTTGTAAATCTATTCAACACTTTCTCAAACGCGCCTGGATCTGGACGTGTTCTGTCAGGATATCTCTCAGCGTACATTCGTGACGCCAACAAGCAATTCCGGTAACATTCTCCAAGAATAAACACCACATCATTTCGCAACGTTGATTAAAAAACGATAGGCTGCCTACGCGTTGCTGTTATTTGTGACAATTGAACATCTTTCGTTTCATCATGGCACACTTGGGTTCGGAAAAACAACGTTTTTCTACAAATTGGCCTTTCGACTTGT